CAAAGAAGAGAAGCCTGTTAGGATGCAAGTTAAACAAGCAAGTGAATTACAGAACTTAAAAGATAATTTAGGGCCAGGTGCAGTGGCTCATGCCTGTTATTCCAGCACTTTGGGAGGCCGAGGTGGGCAGATCACTTGAGCTCAGGATTTCGAGACCAGCCTGGCCAACATGGCGAAGGCTTGCTCTACCCAAAATACAAAAAATTAGCTGGGTGTGGTGGTGTGTGCCTGTGGTGCCAGCTACTTGGGAGGCTGGGGTGGGAGGATCCCTTGAGCCTGGGAAGTGGAAGTTTCAGTGAGCCAGTATTGCACCACTGCACTCCAGCCTGGGCGACAGAGCAAGATTGTCTCAAAAACAAACAACAACGAGAAAGATAATTTCGTAGTGCAAAGATATTCTGTAGAAGTAATGCATTGGACAGAGCCTGAAACTGGAGTCAGATGAACTGACTATGAATTCCAGCTTGTCTTTTTGTTACTTTTACCTTTTTAAGGAAACCACTTCACTTCTCTGATTCTTGGTCTTCAATAGAGTGAGGATAATGGTATCTGCCTTTCACTTCATAGTTATGCCTGCTAAGACTTGGGTGCATAGGGCTTGGTTGGGTTAGCTCCTTTGGTCTTATTTTCAAAAAAAAAAAAGCAAAAACCCCAAAAACCTTCAGGTTATGGGCACCCTGTTCTCACCACCTGGCAGGATTTGCAGGATAATTGCCCAGAATTAGAATATTGATCCAGATTTTTACATTACTCATTCCTTTTCTTTCTTAGCTACATCCAGAGATCACTGGTTGGTTCTCAGGAATAAGCAGAGTTAGTCTAAAATGCAGACAAAACTTACAAACAACTAATGAGATGAGAATTTAATGACAACTGTATGATAAGTTTTGAAACTGTTTTCTGTGTTTCCAGTCCTCATTTTGTGACAAACAAGTCATGATAGGACCGAGTTGTTTGCAAAATAAACTTTAGTCTTATACTTGGCTTAATCATTTGCATAAAGTGCACCAAGAATAATTATTTTCACATAGGCCTTTAAAATTGGCTCTGATGGAACTCTATTCCATATGGAATCTCAGATAAGACTGTCTTTTTTTTTTTAGATGGAGTTTTGCTCTTGTTGGCCAGGCTCAAGTGCAATGGCGCGATCTCGGCTCACTGTAACCTTCGCCTCCTGGGTTCAAGCGATTCTCCTGCCTCAGCCTTGATTACAGGCATGCGCCACCACGCCTGGTTAATTTTTTGTATTTTTAGTAGAGACAGGGTTTCTTCATGTTGGTCAGGCTGGTCTCAAACTCCCGATTCCAGGTGATCCGCCCTCCTGGGCCTGCCAAAGTGTTGGGATTATAGGCGTGAGCCACCGCACCTGGCTCAGATAAGACTTTTTAAATAGCTGAGCCCAGCCATGGGTTTATACCCTCAAATACCTGTGAATTCGGTAAATTCCTCTCTTCTTGAGGTGTCAAGATAACTTGGGGCTCCTGGACCTGATAGAAAGTCACATTCTTAATCACCACAAGTTAGGAACCCTGTACAGGAACTGTGTAGACAGGGTATGAGGCCAGTACTCCCAATGGGCTTTTATTGGCTCTGCCAGTCAAGCTTAATTCCTTAAAGGGAAGCACACCCTTCCAGTCAAAGCCTTGGTAAAACAACCAGTCTCTCCAGTTGTGTTCTGCTGCAAAAGAAAATGGATTCTTATTGCAGTGATGCAAATAACTATATTGCCCTATGTTAAGAATACTCACAAAGTTTCCAAATTCTGGAGAAACCAAGCAGAAAGAAACAAATATTTTCCAAATTTTGTTCATAGGAGTATACCTTACTCAATTGTTGAAAACTGTAGATAGCTTAAAAGAAAAATTTCCATGACTCTGAAAAATAAAACAAGGATCAGCAATGTTTTAAGCAAAAAGTTAAAAAGATTATTTAAGTTTTCTATTAGTTCAGTCCATTCAATTAACTCTTATCCTGCTTGATATTCATGAACATTTCAGCTCTTCATGAGTCCTGAATGATTTTCCTTTATTCCAATGTCACAATCTCCAAAGATATCAGAAACTTGCATTTAAGAGCACCTGTCAAAGTCCTGTAGCTGATTATAAACCATTTTTGGAAGAGGATCAAGACAACTGTCTGTGAATGACAAAATGTCCAGGGTAGTTCCAGTCAGACACACAATTGACAAAGAGATTTGTTTATTTCTGTGGTTTACAATAACAACATAATGACCTTAATTATGATTGAGCACCAGCATGATGCCATAAGTGGAAAATTTCACATTTAAGTACTGAACACAAACTTTATTTCGGGCACCAAAGTCTTAAAAATGTTGTATAAAATTACATTAAGTTGTATGTATTTAGGTTGGTGCAAAAGTAATTGCAGTTTTTGCCAAGTATAAGGTGTATATGAAACATAAATGAATTTTGGACTTGGGTCTCATCCCCAAATTATTTCATTATGTATATGCAAATACTACAAAATACAAAAAATCAAAAATTGGGAACACTTCTAGTCTCAAGCATTTTGGATAAGGGATACTCAGCTTTAGCTCATTTCACGTTGAAATGCATTTATCAGCAGGGTGTGGTAGCTCATGCTGTAATCCCAGCAATTTGGGGGACGAGGGCAGGAGGATTGCTTAAATCCAGAAACTCGAACCAGCTTGGACAATATAGAGAGACTGGGTCTCTACAGAAAATCAAAAATTAGTGGGCATAGTGGTGTGCGCCTGTAGTTTCAGCTGTTTGGGAAACTGAGGCAGTAAGATCACTTGAGCCCAGGAGTTCGAGACTGCGGTGAGCTGTGATGGTACTACTGCATTCCAGCCTGAGTGACAGAGTGAGATCCTATTCAAAAACAAACAAACAAACAAAAACGAAAAAAAAAATTGTCAGGCTCTGACAGAAAGTAAAGAAATATTTTTATTTTGGAATTTGTAATAGATATATTTTTTCTTCATATGTAACCAGCTTTTGGTAAAAATGGGTATCCCTTGAGAAGCACTTAACTTTTCTTTCTTTCTTTTTTTTTTTTTTTTTTTTTTTTTTTTTGACGGTGTCTCGCTCTGCCGCCCAGGCTGGAGTGCAGTGGCCGGATCTCAGCTCACTGCAAGCTCCGCCTCCCGGGTCTACGCCATTCTCCTGCCTCAGCCTCCCGAGTAGCTGGGACTACAGGCGCCCGCCACCTCGCCCGGCTAGTTTTTTGTATTTTTTTAGTAGAGACGGGGTTTCACCGTGTTAGCCAGGATGGTCTTGATCTCCTGACCTCGTGATCCGCCCGTCTCGGCCTCCCAGAGTGCTGGGATTACAGGCTTGAGCCACTGCGCCCGGCCTAACTTTTCTTTCTTTAGTATATGTGGGACTCTTGGATGTTAATGTTACCCTAATTTTTCTTGGTATAGCTTATTTAAAATAAGCAATATTAGAGTATTTTTGATTTAGAATTTGGTAGGAACTAACAAGAATGATGAGAACTAGTAAGAACACTTTCAATCCATATGTAAAAATCATAGAACAAAGGACGTTAAAAAACATTATAGATATTCTTATAAGTGATTTTATTATTATTTTCTTTTCCTAACTTTTAAGTTCAGGAGTACATGTGTAGAATGTGCAGGTTTCTGCCATGCTGGTTTGCTGCATAGATCATCGTATCACCTTTACCAGTGATTTTTAAAAATTCTTTTTGTAAGGGCAATTAGGTTCTCTTGTTCTGCTGAAATGCATTAGGATCTGCTGAGGAGGGATTGTTAGGAGTGTATGTCACTGGCTGTGTGGCACTGTGGGTCCTATATCCCCTTCCCCTTTCAACCAGAGTAGGTACAATGTTATATTTTATATATTGGTGATAATGTAAATTTTTTCTTTAATAATTTTTATGTTAAAAAAGTAGATTTAATAAGTAGATAACTAGTCCCTCAAATGTTCCCTAATTTTAATGACAAAATTACAGAGTTCCAGAGTACCTAACTTCACTTTAGCACTGTTTAGTTAAATCATACTGCCTGCATGTGGCTTTAGGAATATTAAAAATCTTACTAAACCATTTAAAATAATGAACATTCAGCACTGTGTATGAATCGGGCATCAAGAAGATTTCATTGACAATATCAATATGAAGATTCGGCATATTTAAATGAAAGTGGTTTGACATTGGTACTTTTCATATATATTTCATTTTCTTTGAGTATTGAAAATGTTCATAACGGAAGCTAAAATAAGTTTTTGTAATTTTCAGAGGTTGAACTCTGCCCTTGAATTCTTAAAACCTATTGAAGACATTTCCTAGAGAATAGAATGTGCTTCATTCATTTCTCATATGCAGTATAAGCCAAGTAGACTGATTAAGAGCAGAAAGAAGTTCTTATGTTTGACTTTCTACCTGAATTTTTATTAAATAAGTTTGGTAAATATGCAATTTTTGTGTAAAGTGTTTATAGAACTTTTGTTTGTCCTTTGGCATTAGAAAATTCCCTTAGTGCCTGACTTTTCATTTAAAATGAAATTAAAACCAATGTGATTTAGTATGATTTGTAATATTATTTAATGAAACAAACAATTATATTGTGTGTGAAACGGATAGAAGGCTTGTTTTACTTATTTATTTTTTGATACATTTTTATTTGGTCAGAATTGTTCTTTTTGGCAAGATGAATTAGAATTGTTTATAAAAAATTTAGATTTAGCTAGCATAGATGAGTAAGAAATTATACCACTCTTGCAATAACAAATAACAATGGGGAAATAGTAATTTTAAATATTTAATGACTGCTAAGAATATTTAATGGCCACAAAACACGTGATTTTATGGAATTTTTTTAGATGCAGCTAAATTTAGGTCACAGAAAAATTAGTTCAGCATAATTTACCTGTTTTTCTAAGATACCAGTACGATTCTCAATTTCTGAGAATTCTTTTTATAGACTTCCAATAAATGATAAAGTGATTATTAAGTCAAATTGAAGTCTAATATCTTCCTTTTAAAATTATTTGCAGGAGAGGGCTGCTCACAATTTATATGGCCAACTTGGTAAGTATTTTGTTTTAACCTTTGATGTCTTCCATAAGCTGTATCTTTTTAAAATCATGTTTTCTTAAAAAAAGTAAAAGAGGAAAGCCACTTGTATCTGAGGATAGTCTCTGTGTTAATGGATAGACTTAAATGTTCAAAAAAGCCTTGATACCATCTGGTTTGTTCCTGTCATATAGGATTGAATTTCACGTATTTTAGAAGGAAATCACTGTCTTGTGCTCCTCATTGCCTTTTTTTTTTAAAGTTTATATCTTCATCTTTGATAGGCTATAATTCTATATGTATATATCTCTTTATATCTGTTTATATATATAATTTCATATTCTGCCTCTGTTGTGATTTCTTATGGGAAAAACGATATAAGGATGGGTTTTTATGATACATGTTCTTCTTGGACAGTAAAATGACGTTGGTACTATCTCCAAACACTCAGTTCATTTAATAATATAATTAGCTAGGCTTCCAAATTTTTTAGTTTACAGAAATGAAGTTGTTTGATATTCTTTAAAGTAAATATATAATCAAGGTTATATAATTTTTATTGCCAAGTTAATATTTTAAAAACATTTACATTAAAATCTTTTCAGGTTGTTTAATAGACTTGATAGGCAACATTAAAAAATTTAACTAGGATAGATTAATAATTATTTATTTACCTAAGGTTTAGTTCTTGAATTCTGTAAGAAGGGAGTATATTTCAGAGGTACATTTAGCAATTCTTTTTAGTTATAAAATATATACTCTTTGCTCTGTACTTCTGTGTTTCTGTGCCAGATGCTGGTAAACAAGAGATAGCTTTTGCATTCATGGAGTTTTACTCTCTAGTGGGAGAAGTCACAGCAGAAATAATAATATATGAAAAGGACTGAAAGATGATTTATAGGTTCCTGTGGAAATCATATAGCACCAAACTATTCTGGGTGTGTGGGGTTGGGTCAGAGAAAAGTGGGTTTAACTCCTTTTGAGTCATAGACCTCTCTCAGAATCTGATGACATATATGGACATTCTGTACAGAAAACTGCTCATGTAAGGAACGATACCCAAATTTTCATTTCAGGGTGTTCATGGACCACCAATTAAGAAAGCCTAGGGTATGCCATCAAGTAAATTTATTTTGAAATACTCCAGAAAATTAGGAGTTCTAAGCTCTTTTAATTGTAACGAAATGGAAATTTCAGGACAGCAGGAGAGCAGGATTTCTTTTTGGCATTATTCTCCTTGAAAAAATTCTTACTAGAATGTAAGCTCTTGAACTTCTAAATAGAGTCTGTCATGTATTGAGATTTAATAAATACTTGTTTTAATAACAATCTTCCTGGGTGTAGAATTCTAGATTGACAATGATTTAAAGATAATCCTTTATCTTTGTTCTCTCTTGATACTTTTTGTAGTCTGTTGTCAATCTGGTTTTACTTTTTAGGTAATCTCTCTTTTTTTTCTCAATTTTTTTTAAAAATTTACTTTTGAAGAATTTATTTTTGGCATATTGGGTTTACTATGATATGGATTTATTTTTATTTAGTTTGATCAGAAATCAGCTTTTGTAGTCCGAGAATTAATGGTTAGTTCTGGAATTAAATTCTTATCCATCCCCTCTCTGAATCTTGCTTCTTCCCATTCTCTATATTCTATTGTTTTGGAACTCCTTTGAGATGCATGTTAAACATTCTTATGTGCCTCTTCAAGTTTTCTTAATCAATCTTTAACATTTTCCTAATTTTTCATCTCTTTGTGCTGAATTCTGGTTATCTTTTCAGATTTGTTTTCAAGTTAGCTCATCTATTTACTTGTTTCCATTTATTTTATTTTATTTGTTTTATTTTTTTGGTCTCATTTTGTTGCCCAGGCTGGAGTACAGTGGTGTGATCACGGCTCAAACTCCTGGGCTCAAGCAGTCCTCCCACCTCAGCCTCCCAAGTAGCTGGGACCACAGGCATATACCACAATGTCCAGCTATTTTTTTTTACATTTTATTTTTGTAGAGATGGGATCTCTCTATGTTGCCTATGCTGGTCTCAGACTCTTGGGCTCAAGTGATCCTTTTGCCTTGGCCTCCCAAAGTGCTGTGATTATAGGCAAGAGCCACTGTGCCCAGCCAATTTGCTTGTTGTTTTTATTTATTATTATTATTATTTTTTGAGATGGAGTCTCGTTCTTTCACCCGGGCTGGAGTGCAGTGGTGTGATATCAAGTCACTGCAACCACTGCCTCCTGGGTTCAAGTGTTTCTCCTGCCTCAGCCTCCTGAGTAGCTGGGATTACAGGTGTGCACAATCAAGCCTGGCTAATTTTTTTTGTATTTTTGGTAGAGATGGGGTTTCACCATGTTGTTCACACTGGTCTTGAACTCTTGACCTCGTGATCTGCCTGCCTCAGCCTCCCCAAGTGCTGTTGTTATAGGTGTGAGCCACAGCACCCGGCCAATTTACTTGTTTTTCATGCTGAACCTGTCCAGTAAAAATTCAGTTTGAGTGATGATATTTTACTTTTACAAAGATGATAAACACCAGACTTAACATAAAATCTAGATTTTATGTTAATTAAATGTTAAATAATCATCTAACATACCTCCACAAAACTTTTTTCCATCATATATTGGTTATAAACTCCATTCATTTCTTCATATGATTTTATATTATAATTTTCTTTTGAAAAAATTACTAAGACAATACTGATTTTATACAAGGAATTTCCATCATGATTTTTCATTTATTTCAAAAATAATGGACTCTGGGTTTTTAATTGGTCATGAAACTTTGATTGGTTTAGTATCACCAGCTTCGGTTAGAGACTACTTGGAATATTTGAATGTCAAAGTAAACTTTATTCCTCAAAAGCCAAACTACATATGGCTAGACTTCCTTTTCAGTTCCTATATAATACTTTTCTGAAACCCTCACGCTACAGGTTCTTATTATTTGTCTCTCATTTTCTTCTTACAGCCTAGGCCCAATTCTGTATTTGATATATTTCTCATTTTGTGTATAATTTCTTAATAATTTAGAGGTCTTGGAATCAGTCTGTGCTATTACTGGCAGACTCTGGATCTGGAGCTCCATTACTTCTCCCCTTTTTTCTTTCAATAATACTTCCTTCAATTCCCTCCACCTAGTCTTCCCTCTGGTTCGTTAGTAATTACAGTATAGGCTGGGTGTGGTGGTATGGGCCTGTAGTCCCGGCTACTTGAGAGGCTGAGGTGGGAGGATTGCTTGAGGGCAGTAGCCCAAGATCAACCTGGGTAACATAATGAGACCCCGTCTCTTTTTGCAGTGAAATCTGACTTGATTCATTTTGTGTCTTATCTGAGCACTCAATGAATCTGCAACCAGAACCTCAGGTGACTTTTAGTTGCTCCCAGATAAGTTTGAGTTTTTTCTTCCATTATTAATGTCCTTAAAACCGAACCCCATTTGTATAGGGATAGGCCTAAGGCCAAAATTCTTGTACCATAGGATTTTGAAAGATAGTATAATCTATAGTCAGTGGTGACATTTTTTTCAGCACTTCTCACCAGTGACTCCTCAAGTGAATGGGTTAAATGGATATTACTTATATATTCTTGTTTCTCCTCCTGTAATAGATATTTACACCTTGGATACCATTTAGCATGTTGTTCCCAGGGGTGTTCAATGTGTTTCCATCAGTTAGCCTTCCTCCACAGCAAAAGCATTTTACTTTATCACTTTTACCTAAAGCATAAAATTCAGGCCTGCACACTGCTGCTTGTTAACTGAGTACATCCACATCCCCAGAGTAATGATCCGTGCTTCATAATCTGCCGTGGATGGATTTCTTCAGAGGATTTGTTGAATTGGGGAAATTCCTATCAGAACTCACAACATCAGATTCACTTCAAATGTTAACATTCTGGCCCAAAACAAAGAAGCAATTAAGAAAGTGTTGCCTATGTTCTTCTGCCACCAGCCAGCACTATAAGGTTCCCAATTTTTCAGTTTTCTACCACAATAAAAGCACTGCACTTGGTCATCAATACTTGTGTAGTAGAGTTCAGCACTAACTCTCTTGGGGTTAAGTGGGCATAGTTTGGCTGGTTCTGAAATGACTATAATCAAGCTTCCTCACTATACATGGTGTGTTTCTTGGGTATATGGTATCTGACACATCTAAAACCTGTCCAGTTATCAGAAGATAATCTACATGAATCTCAGATGGCCTGCCTAAGGCAAATTGATCACTGTTTCCCAGTTTTCAACTTTGTACTGACCATTTTGGATACTAGGATTTGCAGGTTGTGTGGCACTATTTTAAAAATAAACGCCATTGGTAATCTGCAGTTTGGGATACTTTCTTGTGTCTTCCAACTACTGAGTCTCCATATTGCCTTCTATCTACTGCTGCATGACAACGAAAGCACCACATGGTATCTCCTTCACCAATATAAAGAAAACCTACCTGTGCCAGTGTTGATGCTGAAACAGGACTACTGCTTGGAAAATTAGCCAAAGTTTTTAAACCGTTAAACTCTTCTACAAATTCTTCATCCTTATTTATGTCTGCAGGTACATAGTTTTAGATCCTTCAGAACTGTTAAAAGCCATCTTCTCTTGAAAATAGGACTTGTTCACCTTTTCTTAGGTATCAGAGTTCAGAAAGGCAGTCTTGGAGGGCGTGAGCTACCCACCCTCCCACCCAGTCATTCCTTCCTTCAACAGTCCTAGGAACCCAGTCATGGAGCCCCTGCTGGGTAGGTGCTGCTTTCCTGCCTTCCCCAGCAGCCTATAATATCATTTTATACAGAGAAAATAAAAAAAGATATTTCAGTCATTCTTCTTGCATTATTGATCACATATGTTTTAATAATTATTCATATTTGGAATAGTTAAAACCATGTTACTTAATACACAGATTTATCACCTTTTTTTGAATACTGATATAGGTAGTGCTTCTCAAACATAGGCATTCTGAAAAATTTTCTGTAGTACAGTTTCCCATTGGGGAAAAAACCTACAAAGATATATTGCATTTATAATAATCAT